AGACATGACTGATGGGACAAAACCAGGTTGGTACTCAAAGGAGTGTCTGAAAACTATGACAGGATGTTCTCACTGACAGCTAAGGCAGAAAGTCTCAGGATGGTGCTTGCAGTAGCTGCCAAAAGGAGGTTAGTTGTCAATCATTTTGACTTTGAGATAGCATACCTCAATGCCACCTGAGAGGAGACTGTATTCATGGAGCAAGCTCCTGGGTATGAGTGTGAAGGCAGCGACAAGGTCTACAGGCTGAGGAAGTCTTTGTATGAGCTCAAGCAAAGTGCCAGATGCTGGAATCTGTGCATACACAAGGAGCTATTGAGGCTAGGTTATCTGTGCAGTGTGGCTGATGCATGTGTGTATATGAAGGGCAGCATAATCCTGGCCATTTATATTGATGATATGTGTATTGCAGCCAGAGATCAGGAAGAAATCAGACTGATGCAATGTGAGGTGGCACAAAAATTTAAGATCAAGGACCTTGGACATCTAAGGAACTACCTTGGGATAGAGGTAGAAAGGGTCCAGAGTGGTGGTTTCAGGTGGTGCCAGAAAAGAAAGACAGAGAAGCTGATAGAGGAGACTGGCTTGAGAGAAGCCAAGGTTGTGAACAGCCTGATGATGCTTGACTATCAGAACTTGGAGTCAGAAGAGTTGTTTGAGAGACCGGATTTGTATCACTCGGTGATAGGGAGTCTGTTAGTTTTGGCAAACAACACCAGGTCAGACATTAGCTTTGCTATAGGGGTACTGATCAGGAGAGCTGTGAAGCCCAGGCAAGTGGACTGGATGGCAGTGAAGTGTATTGTGAAGTATTTGAAAGGCAGAAAAGAAGGATGCTTGGTGATAACAGGAGGGATGTCTGAGCTGGAAGGTTTTGCTGACAGTTGTGCCAATAGTCCTGTCATCTGGAGATCCAGAAAGCAAGGCTGCATAGCACTTAGTACAAGGGAAGTGGAGTTTGCTGAGTTGTCAAAGGTTGTAAACAAAATACAGAGTGCTAGGCAATTGTTGAAAGACATAGAACTGTGGTACAGCAACTGTGATAAATGAGGACTCACAGGCATGCATTGGTATGGCAGAGTCGGAAAATTTGAAATGCAGGACCAAGTACATCACAGTGAGATATTAAAATGTGAAAAAGCTTGTGCAAAATGGGATACTGAAGCTGCAGTATGTTGGTACAGACGGCAACATAGCTCACATTTTCACAAAGCCACTGTGGAGCACCACAAGAGGTTGGCTAGCAGGCTGGGTATCAGTGGATGAGGTCTGCATTATACATGGGACAAATGAAAGGACACATGGAACACATTGCATGTCATTTTGGAGAGGATTGTCAAGACCATGTGGCACCCTGGTCTGGAAAATGACATGGATGTGGCCTCTGAAAGGAACTGGAGCAATGGTAACAGGGTTACTACAGTTCAAGTGGCAGATGCATGAGTCAGCATTTGAAAAAGCTGTGCATTATGGGAGGTCTGATGCAACATGCATAGTAAGTGAGACCAGCTAGGTATGAATCATGGGGGGCTTGATGCAACAGGTGCTGGGGATAAAACCAGTCAGGTTGCATTAGTGAATGGCTGTCACATGTTCTTAAGATCACCACCTATATATGGGTGAGGGTCAGAATCTCCGTTGTTGGTTATTTGTGGTTGGTGGTTGATGAAATACTTTGTTGGTCTGTATAGTCTGTGAGTAAGCAAGAAGGATGTCTGATACTCTTTATATCTTTGTAAATATTTGCAACAAAGATTAGAGCCCTCATTGAGTGAAGTCTCGCTGTCCACCGATTCATTTCTCCAAGATGAAGGCAGCAGCCTGCATGAGGGAGGATTTTTCCTGTGCCGTCTGGAGCAAGACTCTTCACAGAGACTATCTTCTCAGCGTTCCTGCCTACGTGCATCAACTCTGCATGTGTGTATGCTAGATCCTGCTTTTCTGAATACCCCAACATGACTATGTACAAGTTCTCAGCTTAGGAGAAACAGTCTAAAATGGGATTAGTTTACATGTGCCTTTTACCACAATTTGTTTATGATACATGGTGGCCAGAAGGGAAAAATGTGATGCAAATATTGCAGGATAACACACAATTGACCATTTCCAGAAGATGTCTTTTCAGTCTTGGTGGTTTAACTGTACTATTTGATTCTCCTTGAATTTCACAGAGGGAACTCTGTTTCATTCAAAGCCACCTGAAATAATAACTCATGTCCCAATAGGAAGAAAATTTGTTGAGAAAGAAATATCCTATCCCTGTGCTCATGCTATCTGTTGGGAAAGGGTGAATCTAGCTCAAGTCAACTTAATAACAAAAGCAACAAAAACAACATAATAAAAACTGTGGAATTGTGTTCTCATACATTTAGGAAGTTGAGGGTACAAAGAAGGCTTCAGCCAGGCATTTTCCCAGTCTAGACTGCAAGCAAGCTAAATCCTGGCATACAAAACAGGGATGCCTGTAAATGAATCCACTTTAACCAATCAATTCTTGACCTATATGTGTGCCAGGATTAGCATGAAATAATAGTGACTTTGATTTCTGTGTTGTTGTTTTTTTTTTGGTTTTGTTTTTTGTTTTTTTGGAACATATGTTTCAGTTTCCCAATAGTGATACTGTGTCATACTTAAAAAAAAAAAAGAATATGCAGAGCATATATTAATACAATTGTTTATTTTTTAACATGCTTGGCACATGGCTCTGGTTTTCAATAGGCTACCACTAAGATCACATAATCTATCATTATTTTCCTCTTTAAAAAAATGTACCGTTTTCATTTATTTAAAATACACAGGATCAAAGACTGGGTGTATTAAAAACTATTCTAAGTCATTGGCCAGTATTATTCTCATCCTGAATGAATGCTGCTTCTCATTCTTTGTGGTCACCACACCCCTTTCTATAGCTGATATATTTAGCATGCATCAAAGGGAAAGCTATGCATAATCATAAAAGGCCATTCTGTTTTCTGGTATTCATTGAACAGAGGCACACGTAAGCACAAACATAGATATTTTGATTTGCAAGTCATGCCTTTATAAATGGTACTTGTGTCACTTGGAGGAAATCCACAGCAAATATCAGATACTACCTTGCCCTAGTAACCAAAAATTGGCAAAAATCTATGCTAAACTAAATGAAAACCAAATACTACTGGAGAGGTTAAACAGTTGACAGGATGCAGCCCCCCCCCAAAAAAAAAAAACTGAGCATGGGCGGGGGGTACACTTGCTGTGTTACACATGCAATTAAAATGAACTGGAGGAAATAGAATGACTGCAATCTCAGAGAGTTAATAACCTGTCTATGCTATTGTGAATGTTAAACTGGATTGTTAGCACTGGCAGTTGGTGGTTCCCACATAAGTGGGGCAGTACATCCACTCTGGGTTTTTAGTCTGAACGTGAAAGAGACTATCCCATATTCTGAACCTTGGAGGGTGATGGATAAGATCCCACATCTTGCATAGCTATTTTTATTCCAGACTAAAACCTGAAGCAGATTTACTACTCCACTGACCTAGAAGCCATTGGCCACCATCAATTTTCAGCAGTTGAATTTGGTATTCCCTAGTCTTGTTCATGGCATCTCATTGAGCAAATATGTAATAGTTATTTCCCTCATAAATATGCCATTTATAGAATATTTTCTTCTTCCTTTATACCTTTTCTTTGGTCAACAACAACAACTTGTTCCTGGATACCCATGACTGATTATGAATCTTAGGAAAAATCCCTCTGCTTTAGTAGGGACCACATACATACATACATACATACTTACATTGCCTGCATTCCTGTTCATCTATCCCAGGGTCGGGCAGTTTTTCTTACCTGGGGCTGGTCCGCTGGCCTCCAGGTCTTCCGCGGGCCGAGGGGGGGAAATGGCGGCGTGTGTGCTCATGCACACGTGTGGCCCCACCGACCGCCACCGCCGTGCACATCTCAGCCACCATTTTGTTTTCCAAAATGGCAGTCGCAACTCATATGTGCATGCACAGTACTCCTGAACATTCACAAACGAGTTGCAGCCGCCATTTTGTTTTCCAAAATGGTGGCTGTAGCTAGTTCGCACATGCACAGCAGTACTGCACATGCGCAAACGAGTCATGGCCACCATTTGGGAAAACAAAATGGCGGCTGTGACGCGCACCACGGTGGTGGCAGGCATTGGCAGGGGCCAGTCCAAAGGCATCGGGGAGCCGACCCCAGCCCGCAGGTTGCCAACCCCTGATCTATTTATTTATTCCAGGGGTAGGCAACCTTTCCCCAGAAGCCTCAGCCATGTTGGCCAATAATCCCATGTTGGCCAATAGCTCCTGGGATTCTGGGAGCTGAAGTCCCTCGGCCCTTAAAGGGGAAAGGTTGCCTACCCCTGATTTATTCCATTTATTGAACTGCTTCATTTACCTGCAAGCTGAGATTCCAGCATGCCAGTCTAAAAACTGGGTGTTTCTTTTTGTTTTGTTTTTTAATGGTTTGTATTTGAATTTTTATATTAATCTGTCATTGTTTTAATTGGTAGCTGATTTAATAATGTTTTAAGAGGGGGAGGGAATATACTGTTTTATCTTTATTGTTCTTTTAATTGTTGTAAACCGCCCAGATTGGTTCACCATAGGGTAGTATAGAAATAAAAATTATTATTATTATTATTATTATTATTATTATTATTATTATTAAAAACAACTTCATGAATAGCCCCATCAGTAGCTAAGGTAGTACATGGAACCTAGAAAGCTTTATTCCCAAGCCTCTTATATATATTATGGGCTGCATCCTGGGAAGCCACCATCTTGTTGCCCCTAACCTCCCTCACCAGTTTCCCAAAACTCTCAATACACTCAAGCTTTTAAAAAAGTATATTGATGTGATTATGGCAACACTATAGTGAACCTATCATGAGATTTTCTTGGCAAGATTTCTTCAGAGGGGTTTTGCTTTTGCCTTACTCTGAGAATAAGAGATTGACTTGCCCATGGTCACCCAGTGAGTTTCCATGGCTGAGCAGGGATTTGAACCCTGGTCTCCAGAGTTATAGACCCATGTTCAAATCATTACACAACACTGGCTCTCTTCCAAAGTCATCATTATTCACAGAAAGAACTCTCATCAACAAAGGTTTCCCAAAATCCAGTGTCCTCCAGAAGTCTTAGATTCTGTCTCTCAACAACTCCAGACAGGACCAGGTTAGGAGAGGATTGGATACTTACCTAGCATTTTGCAGAGCTGCCTAAACTCTAATGTTATCAAAATGTTCAGGCCTAGTTAGGAAGGGAATTACTATATTTGTTGAAGTATTATTTCCAGAAACCCACAAGAAACTTGCCTGCACAAAGTGGGCTTTCTGCTGCATTTTTTTAAAAAAAAAGTTCTGGCTGGAGCTGTGAAGGAAATTTCAGTTTCAGCACAGAGGCTGAGGTGAGTTACAGCTGCCTGTCACTACCAATATATTCCCTCATTCATCATCATTAGGAAAGCACAGCTGACCTGGAATTTTCAGAGCCTGTCCTCTTCAAGCTGTTGGGGTTGCGGATGAGTTTGTCTAGCATGTTGACAATCTGTCCAAATTTAGGCCTGTCACTTCTCTCCTTCTGCCAGCAGTCCAGCATCAACTGATGGAGTGCAATTGGGCAGTCCATCGGGGGCGGCAGCCGATAGCCCTCTTCAATGGCTTTGATAACCTAACAAACAACATTTTCAGAGGCCTAAATATGTATGAATGGTACCCTTGAGTACATCTGGGAATCATAACAATTGCATATTTAACCAGAAGAGTAAAAAAAATGTTTATATACAAGCTCAAATCACAATTAACAATTTACATTATTAAAGTAATGTGAAACTGCAACATTTGTATGTATAGATAGTAAATATATGATAAAATGCACATTTTAAACTTGGGATTAGAGAAAAAAATCAGATGTAATTTTCCTTAGATTTTGATTCTAAATCTCATGCCCTAAAAAAACATAGACAGCTTCCAAACAGTAAATGGAGAAGGACATTGTAAGGACTGAATACATCTTTCTGTGGATTATCTCCAGGAAATTTGCAATGCTGCATCACTCATTGAGGTCTCTGTTGCTTTGTTGTTAGTTGATCATTTTGGATGGACGTGACATCAGAATTAAATTTCGTGTAGCTGCCAATATATATCATAGAGGCCAAACTGTATTTTTGTTCCCTGTGTAACAGCTAAGATCCACTAGCCAAGAACACCTGGTCCCATCATCTCTTTGCCAAATCTGTCTCTCATGCAATGCAAGAAGGGTAGTTGCCTAGGGCTGTTTTCTACTCATAAAGGCCAGCTGTAAACTGGCTTACCATGTCACTTAAAAGTGTGTGATTATACAACAGTATCTGACATTATCCGAAACCTGTCTGTATAAAAGGCACCATAAACCCTTCCATATGTACGGCTCATTATCATATGCTGCCTTTTTGGCAAACTTATGTCAAATGAGCTCATGCATAATCAAGGCCTAGGTCCTGACAGCTGGGTATACCTAGTTCAAAACCCTTCACCCCATCACAGTTGGCACTAATGGGTACTCTCATTGGTAGCCTTTTACAGAGAGGAGAAAGATTAATTGGCCACACACATTGATCTGCAAAATGATGGAACTGGTTTCACAAGAACAGTGGCTGAAACACAATGGCAAGCAACACAGATTCAGACTTCCATTGCTATTAGGCTTGAAGGCAAGCCGAGAAGAATATCATCTCCAGGGCTACCAACACTACTCTATTCATGACCAAAAAAAATAATAACTTTTCAAAACTTGTATTCTGATGAAAGGGAGAAAAATATATACTCCTCCTCACAGCCACAGCAAAGTCTTTATTTATCTGACAACCTGCATGACATGAATTGCATAGCATCTCATTTACTTTCACTGGTAAAAGGTGTCATAGCTACATCACTCATCCAATTAATCTGTATATTCTTCTTGCTCTTTTGTGAGAAAGACAGCATAAAAAGCTCCAGCAAATTTACTTCTTCATCACTGAACTCCATTTTGTCCTTAATAAAAATCTCATTGCATTTTTGGAAGTGTCTCCAAAGCTTTGTTCTCATATTACCTATCAATTACATTTAGTTTATTCTGAGCTATAGCACTGGTCATCTGTTCCTACAGTGTCCTAGGTTTGTTTTGTTTTATGGCAAAAGTCTACTTTAATCTTGTTAAAGTTACTTTTTTGGGTCCCCAGATTCCCTCAGCTGCTATGCCACTTTAGTCCAAATACTTTTTCTCCAATCTCTGCACTTATTCAGACTATTCAGCCTGAGATCCTTTAACAGTTAAAGATGCCAACAATTGAGCTTGGGACCTTGTGCATGCAAAGCATGTGCTCTTCTGCTGAGCTCCAGTCCCTCCTGAATAAATTTCACATCTGAAGGAAATTAAAAAATGAAATCTCTTTTCAGCTTCAGTGCCATCCATATGTAAACAATGTTGGAAACTCTTCAGTTCTACAGAAGAAGGTTGGTGAGTCTGTGAATATTATTTAGCTTCCTACCTCTGACTAAAGTGCTCTGTGTTTCATATCTCAAGACTGAGGAAAGAAAAAGTGTTTTTCTGCTTATAAATCATGGTAAGAATGATTATATCTCATTTTCACTGGACTGCCTCCCTTTGATTAAATGTTTTACTGTGTTATATTCCACTTTGCCTTCAATATTCTTTTTTTAAAAAAAACAGGAATTTTATCAATTCTGTCTTGGAATGAACTGAAGTAGTCCAGATAAGGGGGCTTGCATAATTTACAAGAGGTCACTCTCTAAAACTGTTCTTTAATGTCATCTCAAGAACATATTCTCTATTTCACTTGGAATATACATTGTTGCTCAAACTATCATACCATAAGAGCAACAATGTATATTCTGAGTGAAATTGTTTGCAAATCCTGAAATATGAATTTAAATTCATATTAGAGTTTGAAATAGGAATGGGAAACCAGTTTTGCTTCATGAGAAACTGTGCCATGCAATCAGTATTGACAGACATGTGAATGTCTGATGTGTTCCCCCCTGTTTTGTGTAGTTTATTTTAGCAGAGTTGCAACTCATTTCTATTATTATTGTTATTATTATTAGTGCTGCACAAAAGAGCAGCTTACAAGATTAAGAACAGTACTATATATTTTGAAAACTTTTATTGTATACCAAATATGCATGTGCATACACACAAACATACAGAGAGAAAATCTGCAACAAAAATGTGCAGGGCAGTCTATTTTGTTCAATGTCCCAGCTATGAAATCTTTCAGGTTACTTCATTACATTCCTCTTTTTTGTTGTTTTTGGTCCCTATATCTCCAATAAACACTCAAAAATCTATGGCTAATCACCATGCTATGTCCTTGTTGAGTTGTTTTTTGTCCTATTAACCACCCCAAAGTCCCCCCCCACTGATATTTCCCAACTTTCCCCTTATTGTTATTGTGAACACAGAGCCATGTGGTGTACTAGACTAGACTAAAAGTTGGATGATCTGGGTTCTAGTCAACAATGAGCTATGAGAGTCAATGGTTGACCTTATTCCAGTTACACTGCCTCTAAGCCTGAACTACCTCACAGGGCTATTGTTAGGATAAAGTAGGAAGGAGATGCATTTGAGGCACCTCAAGCACACTGAAAGAAATGTGGGCTATAAATGTAATTAATGAATGAATTAATAACGTCCTACTCATGTTGGCATGGGGGAAAAAATGAAACTCCTAATGTCATTGTGCAGATGAAAGGTGAAAGCTATAAAGAAGAAACAGTGGCTTCACTCCATATGTTTGGCTGCACAATGGAAGGTAACAGATTTTGCTTTCTCATCATGGTATCCTTACATGAAAATTTATTTTCTACCAACAAACTGAAGTATTATCTTTTTTTTTTTTCTAATTCAAAATGCAGGAAGGACTAACCAGAACACAGCCATGGAAGACTGTGATAGGATAATGTGCAGATAAATGCTATTTTCTCCTGACTTCTCTGTCCCAACTATCTTAAAATGAGATAGAATATTAGATAATAGATAGACACATCCTTCCTCCTGATACACTTCACTCACAAAAAAGATGCTACTTTGTTATTTTTCTCTTCTTAAATTTCCTATTGAAGATTTCAAGACCATCTAAGAACTGGATATTGCCAAGGTTAATCCTAAGAACCAACAGCTTGTTGAATTAAGATGAGAAAATACTCAGGCAGTATTGCTCATGCCATTAGCTCCTAAGAAGACTATAAACAGCTTCTGAAATTCTGCTATTTTGCTGATTTATTTCCAACAGAACTGGCACCATGCAAGAGGGATATTGATTCCACTGGATGAAAACACAGGATCACTGGAGGATCCATGTGATTAGTTAGTTGCCAGGGTGAGAATCCACCAGTGTGTTTGTGTCATTCAGATTTGACTCTCCACAACACATCACAAAAGAAAGCAGACCCTAGGTGACTGAAAGCCAGATCTGAATGATTTTTAGGGCATGAGAGAACTAAAGTTACCAATTATAGTTTTCAAATGACAGTGAAACGCACTCACATCTTGATTGGACATATCCCAGTAAGGCCTCTCCCCATATGACATCACTTCCCACATTACAATTCCATAACTCCAGACATCACTAGCAGATGTAAATTTACGATAGGCAATTGCTTCTGGTGCAGTCCATCTGATGGGAATCTTACCACCCTGCAAGTAAATCAACAAAGATATATATATATTAAAAAACGGCAAGTTCTTTAAGTATATAAGTCAGTTGTACATCACATATTCAAAACAACAAGCAGATTGCATGAAAAGATGCCAAAATAGACAGAATATGCCACTGTTTTCCTTTTATGTTCAAAAGGGATTTGGTAGTGGATATACAGTAGGTAAAGTGTCAGCTTCTTCCATTGTTTGTAAACCTTATAAACCTTGTAAACCTTATGTTTGCAACAAAAAATACTGGAATATATGAAGATCAGTATGGAGGGTAGCTGGAGTCTTGTCTATGGGATGGATTTTTAATGTTTTTCTGAGGGGTGGGGTGGGGAGCCAGTGATAATCCAGATATTATTGATTACAAC